CATCACCAGTGACTGGTCGCCAACTGGATGCAGCCCCGTTCACCACCACTCTCTGGGCCCGGCCCTCCAACCAGTGAGATATATAGATGTACAAAGTGTATGTAAGAAGACTACAGATTCAGAAACTGTGTTCCTACCCATTTCTCCATAGTTACAACCTCCCACAAAGTATCATTTTTCCTAGTTAACCTTGGTTTCCTAGCTGCACTGAGTAGATCTGATGTGCATGCCACATAGAAAGACATTCCCTTCCTGAGTGCCACAATTTTGTTCTGTCTTGTCAGACTATATAATGATTATTGGGAGCACCCAGTAACAGGTATTTTCTTCTCTAATGGATTGCTATCAGTAAATGTCTTCTACATCCTAGCCACACTGGACGGGGAAAAAAAGTTGATTGGATTCCAACAGAAAATATAGTTGATGAGATTTCAAAGAATTTGCTCATTCCTGACAAAAATACTTGTTGTGGTATGTAGATCCTTTTTTGGGATCTTTGGCAGTAGCTGGAGTGTATCCCAGACTTGACTGAGCATTCTTAGCAGTCTGAGCGTGAGTCTGCCCAAGTCAGTGTCAAGAATACTGTCCCATGGGAAAATGTCCATTTGAGTAAGGAAAATTTCATATTTTAAATGAATAAGGACAATTCCCAAATGAAAGTATATCCTTCGTGGTGGATTTATGTTCAATATTTAATTCAAAAATACGGGAAAAGAAAGACAATTACCTTAATGAAGAAAATCAAAGGATAAAAATCAGAGCATCACCTAGTCAGGCCTACTTGTACCATGAAACATAAAATATTGTGCCCCACTCACCAAATCATAATACAAGTCTAGCTTGAAGGGAATGTTTTGATGTGATAGTTCACACATCTGGCCTGAGGCTGGGGTAACTTGAAAGTGCAGTGAGGTTTTTTAGGATCTTGTCCATCCAAGTACTGAAGCTCTTCATGGATGGAGATTCTTATGAGGTACTCACCTTTCTAGTTCACTTTTTCTTTCATCTCATTAAAAAAAAAAAGAGTATTTATTGAAGTATTTTGTCATTGAGCTTCTTCTAAGTGGTTTGTTGTTTTGCTTTAAAAAAGCTCTCATTTGAGTATTACTTCAGAGGCCTCACAAATGTAAGCTGTTCATTTTGAGTTATGACTGACTGCACATTCTATCTCATCATTAGAAACCAGAGTGTGTAACCCCTGGCCTTAGGCTGGTAACTCATCCCAGTTTTTAAATAGTTCATTATCCCAAAGAGTAAGAATCAACAAAAACAATTTTTAATGTCAAGGAAAAGTGTTCCAAACAGGAATAATTATATTCCTCCTCCAGGAAGAAAAAAATGTGATACCTATCCTCATTCTGCAAATATTACTATGCTTAAATCTCAACACAAGGAATTCCACTACCTTTTGTAAGGTAGTTATCAACTGTAAAGTGACTTCACATCTTTCTCCATCTAAGTGTGTGGTAAATTTGCAAAGCCCAGGTACTGAAGATTGCCAAAACTCCTTCTGCCTTGGTGCCTGGAGTTGGAGGACACAGGTAGTAATAGGCACACTGAGGGACTGTGCCCAAAAGAAACACCACATTTCTAAGCCTAAAGTGAGCCTAGTACAAAAGGGGTGCCCTGTGCTATAGTCAGAGGAACCTGGATGTTCGTTCAGGATTTCTGGGCACATTGCAGAGGTGCTGTTACTGCTCTGGGACATTAGAAAGCTAAATGTGTTGTAGGGCATTCAGTGACATTTAAAAGCAAGAAAGGGATAAAGAGTGTAACATCTTTAGCCCAGTGGTGCTCCCTGATGGCACAAATTCTTCTAGCTTCCCCCACAATCTGTGGCAGCTGTGCTGTTTTCCAGGATGCCACAGAGCTGTAACACAAGGATGCAGCAGCATGCTGCTCTGTGTTTCTGATTTATATTCTAGGATGAAATATTTTAATTGAATTATTGTGAAATTAAAATATTATATTTTTCAATAGACAACGGAGGAATTGGACATTAGAGGAGGAAAATGAACTGTGACTGGGGCAGCAGTTTAGTACTACAGGAAAATTGCAGTAAGCCTAATGAGGTGCTAAAAAGCAAAATGAAACCAGTTCCAGCTAGATAGTTGATTTAAAAACCCAGTTGCTTTAGGGTTTTCATGTAAAATGTATCAAACTCGTTCTTATCTACAGCACTTTATCTGTTATTGTCAACCACTGTCATGACAGTGTGAGCTTCACCAAATGAGCACAAAAACAAGGGGAAGTCAAAGTTAATTTAAAATACAACATTGTAAAAAATTAAAATCTTATTTAAGCCCTTGTCAAGTATAGACTCTGTTTTACTGTATTAGTTCTGAAAATAATGTGAAAATTTGAAATAAACTCTGCAATGCCTTGCTATTTCATAGACAAAATATGTATACACAGGGTATCTTCCAATATGGCTGTCTAACTTACTGATAAGAATAATATTAAATATTCACCAAAATAAATGTATTTCTACATTTGCCTGGTAAAGAGCATTCATACAGAGCTCTGGCTTAAAAGCTTTAAGGCTTCCTAGTTTTCAGCATTTAGCTCCATTACATTTATAATTTCTTTCTTAATATCTGCAGTGGTATCTGTTAACTGATTTAAAAAAAAGGTTTCTCAAGCAATTATATTCCTGGGTTCAGCCTGATCACTGAATTCATTCTACACTCAGGAACTAGCAAACACATAGGTATATATTTAACTGTACCAATGCAAATAGAATCACTGACGTCTTTTGTGGCTAGAGCTGGACACAGTCAGGAGTATTCTATAGGATCTTCCCAAACCTCCACTATTTCTGTTTAAGAAGGTGTAGAAAGGTGAAGAGAATGAGGGAAGCTGATGGTCTAGGACTCAGCAAAAGGAATTTTAAGGAAGGGGGGTTGTCTGCAAATTGAAAGTGAGATGAGAGGTGTGTTCTACTAATTTACTATATTTGGAAAAAAATTAAAATCATGGCATGAGTCTGCACATTTTCCACCATCGTTTTGTGTATTGGACATGCCTTGTAAGAATGATTTTTTAATTAAAAAGAAATGACAGTGAACTGTTGGTGTATTGTGAAGCCAGAGCAAGTCTGACAGCGTAATACGTGAACCAGTCAAGGGAGGAATGACTGAACTTGGAAAGAAGATTATAGAGAAAACAACAAATCATCTTGCCAGTCTCTTTCCCCAGAGATTACCTTACCTCCAGGTGGACAAAGTCCATCCCTGCGGTACAGCTGAGTACCATCGTGCTGGTGGCCACCCCTGGCAGGTGACGCAGTGTTATGTCTCAGCAGAGAATCGGGCATACTCTGCTGCTCCACGGTGGTGTGACCCTGACACCTACTGCGTGCTGTGGCTCGGAGGCAGCGCCTGCACAGCCCAGAGCTGCTTTCCAGAAAGACAGCTCTCTTAGGAATTGATGTAACTATTCCATTTTCTTGGAACATTTTTTTCACTGTACCTTCTGAGCCAGCAAATATCTCTCAGGTAAACTGTACATCAGTACTGAATGGTTTATAATAATTTCAGATTTTATCATGAGCAACTTCCAAGCTAAACGCACTTCTAATTTGTAATTAAAAAAAAAAAAAAAACAAAACCCGAAAAAACCCCATCAAAATCAACAACAACGAAAAGTTTATTTCAGTCTGCATGTAAGCTGTTGACATCTGTGACTCAATGAGCCAGAGTAACCCGGGGAGTTCCCAGACCTTGGGGTCTAGAAAGTAAGTCATATGAGGAGTGGCTGAGAGAGCTGAGGTTGTTTAGTCTGGAGAAAAGGGGACACAGGAAAGACCTTATCACTCTCTACAAGTACCTGAAAGGAGGTTGTAGCAAGATGGAGGTCGGTCTCTTCTCCCAGTCCACTCGTGATAGGTCAAGAGGACAAAGTCTCAAGCTATACCAGGGGAGGTTTAAGTTGGACAACAGGAAGAACTTCTTCACTGAAAGGGTTGTCAAGCATTGGAACGGACTGCCCAGGGAAGTTGTGGAGTCACTATCCTTAAAGAGAAGACTGTATGTGAAACTTAAGGCCATATTTAATTCACCAGGCAATGATCAGTCAAAGGTTGGACTCAATGGTCTCGGATGTCTTTTTCAACCTTAAAGATACTGTGATTCTATGACCCAAAGGAACTGGTCCTAGGCTCTGCCTGACCCATGTGCTCTCCACTGCATGAAGATCTAGAACTAGCTAAGCAGGAATATTATACATTGGATTTCAGTGAAGCTACACGAACCCAGGTGGAGATTTTGAAAATGCTGCTCTTTCACGCCATCAGTAAAAAGATACTCAAATGTGTTAAAAAATTTAGGGCAAAACGTCCATCTCAATTCTAAAAATAAACTGTAAGATAAAATTTGCAAAGTAAAAGACAGAGCTTAAAAAGCCTTTAGGCACACCAAGGTACACAGTGGGTTCAAGAGAGGAAATTCAGACTTGGATCCTAACTGCCTCTGAAGATTTTAATTGTTTTTTATTTATGCTATTAAGGTGCCTAGATATAGTTGAAAACTTTACGTTCTTGATTAGGGAGCTAAGCATACAACTCCCACTTGGAATTCAGTGCGATTCTTACCTGGAAACAGCACCACCTGATGCTGACTCATTCCTTTAAATGTATGAAGCTTAGGATGGGCCAAATTATTCTATAGAGGTTCTTACCCTTTTTCACTGACAGCAGAGAGTAGGTAATTAGACTCTTACATGCCACTCACGTTAAAGGACCTTATATAACCAATGCCAACTCCCCCAAAATTGCCTCAGGAATCATACTAACCTAAAAATTAGTCAGATTACTCACTATAAGAAGAGAGATTCTTGAATGAGATGATTTATTTCCTAGATGTCCTCGGGTGTTATAAAGAGCTTAATAGACCCTAAGAAAGAATTTTCTTCTGAGAGATATTCTTCTGAAAAAGTAGAACAGATCCAAATGCAAAAGACAAGAACAGAAAATCATATAAATTGACTTGGATTTTGTTGTCATAAAAATCTTAAAATTCTGTGATCGCTACAGAGCTAGGAGTCTGGTGCACGGCTCTGTAGAGCCTCAGTCTTCAGGCTAATCTCCCATGCAGGTAAAGAGTAAGAGTGGCAGGCAGGGGTTTTCTTCTTCCTGTTGGGACAAAGAAGAGTAAAAAATGTTGAAAATTTGGCCTAATTTCTGTTAAAATTTTAGCAGAGCAGAATAACAAGTCGATGTATACATCAATGCATTATTTTTAAAAAGGCACTTGAAAATATTACTCCTCAAACCTAATCTAGACTACAGCACAGCACCAGGTGCCATTAATCAGTTCTGCTATTTTCATAGCTGACACTGGGAATAACCTTGAATAGGTTACAGTTACCCAGAGTAATACTTTATTGCAAAGGCCTAATGATTCACTTTAAAAATTTTAAATTAATTCTCACTTTTCCCACATCGTCTGATTCAGTTTTCCACTTTCTGGTAACTGTCTTACACTTTTACCTCGATCAATAATATTGTGAGTAGTCAGAGCACCTGACAGATGACAACATCTTTGTTATTTAAGGAGATCTCTTATGACATGGGACCATCTACTAGGGGCATTTTCTAAAAAAAAAGCTTTTACTTTATAATATACTGCAGATGCAGATGGATAGTGATGTATTATGTGAAGCACTAAATAAAGAAATAAATAACCAGCTATAAGAATATTTTTTTCCTTCCTGTCACAAAACAATCTAAATTTTAGTATTCATTCTAGAGATGTCCTAGCCTCTTAGAGGCAAATTATGCACGAAATAATACAATTAAAACTGAAATAAAAGATTTAAATGCAGCCTCCAGAGACATCAAATGGCACCACACTGTCTCACTCTTTACTGCCTCTTAAAGTGATTGCTCAATTTGTAGGAAAATCTTTCATCCTTGCTCTTAGAATTCTCTGATTTTGATGACACTAACCATAATTCAGTTTTCCTACACCACAGGAACATGTCAACATTTCCTTCATCCCCCAGAATGAACAAACAACTTCACGACCAAGTATAACCATTCTCTAGAGCAAGAAGGAGCAGCTTAAGGCTGCTTCTTATATCCCTCTGGAGACTCTCAGTTAGCACTTTTGTCATTGGCAACCTTTGGAATGACTTTGAAAATCACTGATGCCACCACTATGAAGTGAGGGATATTTGGGCATGGTGGGTGCTATCTTCACAAATACTGTAAATGTTATGTCTCCAACATTATCCACATTAAGGGTGAAAAAGACACATACATTTGCAGTGGTGTAACAACTTGCAAAGAGCCTAAACCACCACTTTTTTTTTAACTTCCCTTACTCTAAATTGCTAATGAGTTTTGATGACAGACACTCAATACCCAGAGGTACAAGCAAAATAAATGAACATTTTTTTATGAAATCACTTGTCAAAAACAATGGTTTCCGTAACTGGTTTCATTTGGGAAGGATAAATCATGGCAAAAGAGGAAGGAATTGGGTCAATTTTCAGTTCACAGGACTTCGTAGTTTATCTACTGGTGTATCAGGGTCGTAAATAACTTCACTAAAGTCTCTCTGACTGTAGTAAACTACATTGCATAATCACAGAAATTGATTTTCTCAACAAGTTTCTGGAAACTTCTCTTTCTGACTGTGAGCATTGAAGGGATATCATGACATCAGAATAACTTTGACAGCACATTTGCTGCATAGAATACAGTGTTTGAGAGGATCACAGATGTGTGACTGCTAACTTGAGTAGCTGAAATATTACAGAGTAACATAAGGATTTGTTATCACGCTATTACTATGGTGCTGAGTTTCCAAGACGCAGTCTCACAAAATCTCAGTGATAGCTTTATGAAAACCAACAAACTCTAGGTAGAGATTTTCAGAGCTTGATATATGGGAGGTCTAAAAATAAATGCCATGAACATTGTCAACATTTCAAAGTAGCCCACAACATCAGATTTTGCCAGTGTTCAGCAGAAGGGAGTGACATATTATTACCCAAAGTCTTGCCAACATGAATAGTCAAACAGGGCACACTGTGAACACGGTCAAACCCAGAAAGTCCTGACTGGCCTCAGCCAGCAGAGTTTCTATTTGCATGACCTGCATTCAGTGATGCAGAAACGTGCCTTATTAAATCCCCATGTAGTGGGGTAGTAGATAATTTCTGTCAGTAGTAGTTCACTGCAATTTTGGTCAGGTTCCAGTTCTGTAATGCTTGAACACCATCATGTGACCATTCAAAGCAGAGCAAACTTCCAAAATGTTAAAGCACACAAGAAAATCACAGAAGCAACCTCTCACATATCAGAATAGTTAAACTGGCTTCCTATTCTCTATATCAACAGGCACATGTTCAGTAAGCATTAGTTTGGCTGGTATTGACAGAGATAACAAAATTTATTCTTCAAGGTCTCCACTTTTTTAGCAATTTATTTAAAAGAGTTGAAATAGTTGAGCTGTTAAAAATGTCCCAAAATTAATGTTTTGTGCAATTATTTGGAATTAGATCTTTAAGAGATTTATAGGGCCCTTTCCAACCGGAACCATTCTAGCATTCTAAGATCTTTTATGTTGCTGTTATACTAGTATTTATGAAGGATACATATTTGTGCAGAATCCTTTATGCAAGACTACTAATGCACTAATTATTCTAGGCCTAAAAGTACAGCCAATCATATTAGCATATGAACCAACTTGCTAATTAGTATGTTCCAAGTAACAGATCTGAAAGTATGATGAAGACAGTGCACACAGCCTTTAACATCTAAGAAGTTAGGTTTTTGACTCCTGCATGTGGCCTAAACTTTCTTTGCTCATACAATGTTTTTCAGGCCTGTTAATAAAAATATTGCCTCTGAACATTTCTGTCATTGAGAAATAGGCCCCAGAAAGCTGCAGGTCTCCCCACGTGAGAAAATCCAAGATGCAAATGGACAGCATTATAGACAGGTTCCTTTCCAAGTTGCATGTAACTTACTGCTCACCCAAAGTTCATGGCAAAACATCAGTAGTGTCAGAACAGCACTAAATCTCATAGAAGAGAGGTGACAAAGCAGACCAAATACGACCTGTATTACGGAGATCATAGAACTAAATGAATTAAGCAGAGAATAAACTGTATCTAAACATCAGGTGTAACAACCCACCTTGGAACAACGTGTCAGGGTTGGTAGACAATAGCAGTGCTTGTTTTAATAAAAAACATTGTGACAAAAGCATCTGTAAAAAGAAAAATAAAATAAATTCTATCTGTTACAGAGTTCAGAACAGCCCATTTTAAAACCTATGTACCAGATAACACTATTGGCATGTGGCACTCACCCATTACAGGCCTGTGGAAGCAAAGTGGCTAAAATGCCAATGAGAATATGGAGGTCACTATAGATACATCCAGATTTGTTATGTGAGTGGTGTTGACAGAACATAATAATGAGAAATGTGATTTATAGAGCACGGATTCTGCTACAAAGGTAAGTGAGCAGAACCAGAAATAGGATGTTCTGTAAATGTTTAGTCAAAGGATGTATATATAAATACAAAACCAGATCATATTGTCTTTGATGGTAGAATTTGATGATTTCTGAAGAAAGGGGATATTTTATAGTGACCCATCATAACAACGAATCACAATTTACTAGCAGCTGTTTATGTTGGCAGAATTATGATTGCTTTCTTTAGATGTATATTAAATATACAGATGTAAACTGCCACATAGGAATGACAGAGAAGATAGGACAACCTTCTGGTTTGGGTGGTTTAGTTTTTCCTTCCCTAAGGGACTAAAAGCAAGGGCAGTCAATGTGTGGGGATTTGGTGGGCCACAAAGAGGAAAGAGATTATAGTATTTGCAGCTGAGATCCACACACGAATTACAGAGCATAGTCAATGCTGAGACATTATTATCCCCTCCACTGTCAATTTTACCTCAGAAATGTTGCTTTGGTTCTTTCCAGAAGATCTTCAAGGGTCCCAGCTAAATTGAAATAGAAAATTAAAAAAAAAAAAAAAAAAAGGAGAAGAAGAAATGCTACAGTAGTTAACAAGTAAAGTATTTTGACTACTGAAACATATCCAGGTATCTTGGATATTAGTGCAGCTATTAAGTACTGATGTAGAAACAAAAAAAAATTGGAAAAATATCTCTAACATATGAGATTTTCTGGTGTTATGATCAGGATTATCTACTTTTCTCTACAGAAAATTCAACTGTATTCAACAAACATTGAAATGAGACTAATACAGACATTGTCAAGGATTCTAGACTGTTGAGCAATTTAGTAATTAAAGTGCTAGCTGATATAGTGGTACTCAGGGCAACTGCTTGGAATTTCACAGGTAAATCCAGTATCACTACTGAAGTCATCGCCAACTACAAAGCTTATTGTCTTAGAATTCCACTGGTCTAGTAAGAAATTGCTAGGGTAATACTTAACTGTTTATTGGAAACTATTCAGGGTCTGCCTTATGTGAGCTGAATTCGATAGCTGTCATTAGAGCAATCCTTTAAGCAATTGTCCCTTACAAAAGTGAAGGAAGACATATACTCATTAGAGATCACCATTTCCATTCTGGGTTATCAGACATATTTGCTACTTTGTCACTGTGTGCTTTGTTGTTTTTTTTTTTCAATCCTCAAGGCAGAAATGTGTTCTGGGATGAATCCAGAAGAGGTGATACTACTTGTACTACCATTGTTATTATTTGCTACCAACTGCAAATATTTGTGTTCCTAGCTTTAAGACCTACTTTTGAAATGCAAGTGCATTATAGTTATTTTATTATTAATAATGTTATTATTCCTACTGTTTCATCCCTTCACAACTAGGTACTGTACAAGCAATTCAGCAGTCATCACCAAACTCCTTCTGCAAAGGCAGGGACTTGGCAGCTACCAGCATACCACAGTTCCTGCCATGTAAAACCCCAGGCAGTGCATGGGGCTCTTCAACAGAGAGATCAAATGCACTCTGTCATCTTAATCATTAATCTTTTCCATATTTTAACAGGGAATGTCTAGTTCTTTTTGCAATGTGTCTCAGGTGTTTTGCAGTAGCTGAGCAACAGCTGCTGAGGAGCACTCACAATATTTTCCATTGTTTTGACTGAACAGAGTTGTGAAATTGCCCTGCTGTTTTATGCTCTCTCAGTGTATGTATTATGAAAATCCAGGAGCACACTGCTGATTGAGATTTTTCATTTTGATCTGTTGGGATTCAGTTTTTGAGCATTCATCTTGAGATTTAGAATCGGAGGTTTTTTCAATTTATAATGATTCATGTATCATATTTTCTGTTTTTTTAAAAAGGGATTTTCATTCTTCTAATATTGACTTAAAATCCTGAACCATTTTCCTGCTCATTTGCAAACTGTTTCTCCATGTATATTCTTATCTTCAAGTGCAACTGCAACATACTTTAGATAAATTAATTTATTTAATTGATATTAAATTACAGTCTTTGTATTTCCCTTTCTCATCTCACTATTTAATATGAATGTGGGATTAGTGTCTTTAGAAGACATGCGAGCTTACCCTTTCAAAATAATTACTTGATGAGACATTGCAAAGTCTGTTTTATTTTTACATAATACTGAAAACAAGTAGCAGGCTCTTTGTGCCTGAGCTGGACTGGAAATTCATCAGCCATGAATCCTGCAGGTTTGTGTACTCTTCCTTAGTTGCAGCTTCCTTAAGCATACCATGATGGTATCTTTACTTGACCAAGTTATATTCTGAGACTGAGGAAAGAATGGGGCAGGGAGAAGAGGGAAAGAGAAATAAAATAAAGAGAAAGGGGTGAACCAGAGTGGATGAAAGGATGCAGGAAGACATCAAAGTTGGATGGGAATCAGTCAGGATCTTGCTTTCTCTTAGCAACATTAGACCTGGAAGGTGAATTAACGGGCAGAAACTGAAAAGTGACTGGTTGTTTTTTTTGTAAAAAGGTTATATAAAAAACGTAAGTAAAGGAATTGCATTCATATGGGTGCCAAGAAACTTACTCCTAATGGATACACACATGATATATCCACATCTTGCTTCAGAAACTCATTCTCTCTGAAATATACTGATTTCTTTTTATTTACAATCTAAAACCAAACCAATCTTTGAACCAACATATAAAATAATTGTTTTCAATGTGTGCACATGCACACATTCCAAAAGAATGCAGTCTGACCCTACATTTCTACTAAAGGCAGGTCAATTTATTGAAGCAGCAACTACCTGTTTTCTTCATTTATCTTTCAGATTCCCCTTTCTACACTCCATTAAAAAACAATGTAACAATTAAAACATAGATTTATAAATACATTTACAACTATGAAACTTTTTCTTTCTTAGACTCAACAGAAAAGCTTAAATCTATACTTGTTATCTGCTATCAGTCAAATATGAAAGGAAAATAATTGCAAAGACTGATACTGTCAGAGATTGTTAGATGAATTTCAAAGCAGATGTATAATTTGGGAAGAAGAATGTGACCTGACAGAAGTCCTTGTTTTCTCAGTAGACTGTCTATAGCAATGCCTGGTAGCAGCTATTGTAGTGAGTTGACCCTGGCCAGGTGCCAGGCACCCACTAAAGCCACTGTCTCACTCTCCCTCTGCAACTGGACAGAGGAGAGAGGAAAAAAAACAGAGTTGAGATAACAGCTGGGAGAGGTCAGTGACTGATTACCTTCATGGGCATAACAGACTCAAAGTGGGGATAGTACTTAAATTTATTACTAACAGGATAAGAGCCAAAGAGTGAGAAATAAAACAATCTTAAAAACACCTTCCCCCCACCCCTCCTTCCTTCCCTGTTCTCCCTCCAGAGGTGCAGGGGGACGGGAATGGGGGTTACGGTCAGTTGTTTTTTCCACCACTTCTCAGGGAGAGGAGTCCTTCCTCTGCTCCCGTGAGGTCCCTCCCATGGGAGACAGTCCATGGTGGACCTCTCTGGCATGAGTCCATCCCTCAGGCAGCAGTTCTTCCCAAACTGCTGTCCCATGGGTCACTCCTCCATGGGGTGCAGTCCTTCACGAATGAGCTGTATCGACCTGGGTCCCCCACAGGGGCCACAAGTCCTACCTGGGAAAAATCTGCTCCAGCAGGGCCTCCACTCTGCACGGGCTGCAGGTCACCGGCAGGACCCTGCTCCATCCTGGGTCTCTCACGGGGTCTCCTTCATGCATCCACCTGCTCCAGCATGGGCTCCTCCATGGGCTGCAGGTGGGTCCCTGCACCCTGATGGTCCTCCACGGGCTCCAGGGGCACAGCTGCTCCACCATGGTCTGCACCACGGGCTGCAGGGGCCTCAGCTCCGGCACCTGGAGCACCTCCTGCCCCTCCTTCTGTACTGACCTTGGTGTCTACATTGTTCCCATGTTCTCTGCTCTTCCCTGGCTGGAATTCCTTCTGTGCGACAGTCTTCTGTTCTTAAATATGTTATCACAGAGGTGTTACTATCACTCCTGATTGGCTCGGCCTTGGCCAGCGTCGGGAAGTCTGTCCTGGAGCCGGCTGGCATTGACACCATGGGAGAGGCGAAGCTTCTAGCAGCTTCTAACAGAAGCCACCCCTGTAGCCCCCCCTTACCAAAACCCAGCCACAGAAACCCACTAGAGCTATATAGAAAAGAGTATTAGAAACAAGGTAAATATAGAGGTTTGAGATTCTTTCCTGATTTACCCTCTTGGCTTCCAGCTATAATGACAGTGAGTTGATGAACTACAGATTGAAGCAGGATCATTATATCATTTGATGGATTCACCCTCTCTTAATTTATCTATTCCTATTAATTTTTTTAGCCTCCACAACATCCTGTGGCAATGCATTTCTTAATGTCATTTTGAGTCATGTGGAAAGCATGTCATTTTTTGTGTTTCATTTTGTATATTTCATTGTGTACCTTGCAGTCCTTGTGTTATAATAATGATTCATCATTTCTATTCACCTTCTCTATGGTGCTGATAACTTTACATAGCTTTTGCCCTTAAAGACACCTTTTCCACAAGCTGAAGAGTCAAAGCCTGTTTATCATATGGAGCATCTACCCATAGATTCACCCTCATGCATTATTTAATTATCATTACATATAGTTATATTTTTATATTTTTAAAATGTATAGAGCTCAGTATCTGAACAGTACACAGATCACAGGTGCCTCTAGCATTGTAATTGATGTTTCACTCTGAAATTCCTTCCTATTAACTCCTATAATTTAATTTGTCTTCTAGATTTCACCTGAACACAGAGCTCATATTCTCAATGGACTGTCCACTTACCCTGCAGTTTCTTTCTTGTTGGAAATAATTTGCAAATAATGGCTAGTTTTCCCGCCTCATTATTCATCTTTGAGGAAAATCTTCTCTCTTTAAGACCAAATTCTCTCGTGAAAAACAATTTAAGTTACTTTTATACAATTTGTTACACATGGGAATATTTTCATTCATTTTGGTATCCCCGTACTTGCAGTCCTCCTAAAGATTCTGCTTCACTCACTGTCAATGGACTTGGAATGGCCCTAGTGCATGGGTTGTTGCACATCAATCACTTCGAGGCCATTGCCTGTGGTAGTAAATTTCTGAGATCATGTACTTAGACAACAAGATGAGTGAAAGAATAATGCAGTTTTATGTATTTAACACTGTGAAAAACAGGCATATCCATGTCATCTCAGATCCTGCACAGCATGAATCATTTTGCTTTAGCCTGTAAGTCTTCTAGCAAGCCTTATAGATGTCTTTTAGAAAGGCATATGTTCTTTGAATGAAAACTGCAGATAACTTCACCCCGTTCCTATTAGTTACATGTGTTAGAAAACTGAGTGTGATTTTGTATCCTGTTCATCTGTTAGCAGTAAAATCATCTTGATCTTTCTCTGCCAGATTCTGGAGTTGCCTTTTAGCAGATCTACTTTCCTCTCTCCACCAAAGTATCACAAGCACTACACAGAACAGGAAATAAAA